CAAGTTGGGCATGATTGATATCCTTGCTCCAACTTGAGGGGGAGTGTTGGAATAAAGTAATTCAAAATAGTTTGTAATTCAAAATAGTTTGTTATACTGTTACTATATATTTGAAATTATATAGATAGAATTTTCGTTTAGATAAAACTGTAGAAGATAAATTCAGAAGTTACTTTCCTTTATTATTGCTAGTTGTTACATATCTGCATATATAAGTTGTGTATAAATACACCTCTGTTTATGAGGAAAATTAATGAGAATGAGAAGATCATATTAGTACTTTGTTTTTTACAGCGAAGGCCTCAAAATGGCTTTAAATTTGGGCTATAAAAATATCTTTTCTAAATGTTACAACCAGGCTCTAGTTCTAACCCACAGATCTAATCAAGAATCTGAACAACAAATGATAGATTATGCCTTTGCGCTGTTTGATACAGATTGGAAGGTAAAAATAAAACATGTTTATTGAATGGCTTCTTACACATCTCAACTACACCAGCCACCAGGGGACCTCTTTCATAACCTTCGCGTCGGTTTAAGGATTTTGCCTCTTTTCTTTTCTTTTTTATAATATAATATTCCAAACAATTTTTTTTACAGAATTTCCGTGTATTGCGGATAATCAAAAGCTGAGGTGTCTGGCTTAACTTTTGAGTAGCACGATAAGTGAAGAGCTATGAATATAAAATTCCTCTTTGTCTAACAAAATATCATATTCTTTGTCGAGAGCTAGGTATATCAAAATTATCTTCTCAAAATCATTTTTTATATTATTTCTAATTTTTTATGCTTCAACAATTTTTTTCCCTAACCTATTTTAAAAATGTGATAGGATATTATATTTATCCTTTTTTATGCCTATTCTATCTATTTTTCTCCACTATTAGATTAAAATTTCAAAATAAGAGAAAAAGAATGAATGTTAATTAAGATTCTGATTTATCAATGTTGAAAAAAATAGATAAATTAGACATAAAAAAAGATAAGTACAGTATCCTATCTATTTAAAAATAAAGCTAAAATTCAATTTATATTCTTAACGATTTTACAATTTCGATTTCATCTTAAAAGTATTTTTGTTTTATTTATACTCTAAACGTTATTATTATCCTTAGACACGAAGCAATCAAAATTGCTAATGAAGAAAGCTTCTATGGACCCATGCAACGATTTTGCCCTTGATGTAGCAAAATAACATTAGCCCCCCAAAATAAGTGTGAAGTATGAAAAAGTTTGTCCCATAACATAACCATAACCATAACCCTGTAATCAGGGTGTAAATAAGCTAGGCTAGACTTTAATTTAAATAGGTCAAGCCTGTGTAAAAAATATTGGGTATATCCTGTCCTATTAGCCCAGGCTTGGCAAAAATGAGCCAACCCATCGGATTGGCTCGTAACCCGACTAAAATGAGCCGGGTTGGGTTAGGGAAAATGAGTTAGTAACTCGAGTCAGCCCGACTCGTTTCAACTCGAAAAAAATCGAGCCAACCCACGGGTCAAACAGGTTGGCTCGCGAGTTATGGTTTTTTTTATATTAAAAAAAACAAAAACTAATGAAGGTAAAGTGGAAAGCTAAAACCTAAAATCTCAATTCCAAAGGCCCAAACAAAAATACCCTGCAGCTGCTAATAAGTCCAAAACCTTGCATTAAGGACCTTTTTTTATAGTATGTGTGACAGTGTGAATGTGGTGCCAACTGCCAATAAGTCCAAGTCCAAATGCAAAGGAAAATTTCTATGGTTTATCTGTATAATGTCTTTGTATTGAATGAATTAATAATTTAGGAAAAAAATTTAGAAGTTATAGCATCTATGAAATTTTATTTTATTTTTCCATTTTTTTGAGCCAACCCTAACCTCACTCGGGTCGGGTTGGGTTGAGTTTTCAGACTCGTTTATTTTTCGAGCCAACCCTAACCCGACTCATTTTTTTCGGGTTGAACGCGGGTTGGGTTTGGTTGAGTCGGATTAGCCCGTTTTGCCAACCCTATTTAGCCTATGTAGGCTCCAAATTATAAGTCTGGCCTGACCTATATTTAAAACATAAAAGCCTTGGTCTAGGCCTGTTAGCCTGTTTAAGCCTATTAAACATTCAACAATTAAAAGAATAATTAAAATAATACTATTTTATTATTCAAAATTATTAAATAATAATTTTATTTATTACATTTTAAATAAATAATATGATATAGGCCGGCTTGTAGGCATATAGGCTTGACATGTACAAAAAAGCCTACGGCCTGTTTTCTAAATAGATTTTTTTAAAAGCCTAGACTTATTCTATTTTACTACTTATCATAGGTCAAGCCTGGCCTAATATAGCAGGCTGTAGGCCCATGTAAGCTAGTGTATCCAATTTACACCCCTACCTGTAATGCCCTAAAATCATTTCTCGCCAAATCATATATTGTAAGGAAGTGTTTGGTAGGTGGATTTATTTTACATTCATGGAAAAGTGAGATTAAGAATATTATTTTCTCATATTTGGTAGAGAGATTTTGAAAATTTTATGAGAAAATCAAATTCTCGGGATTTGAAATTATGAAAGAGATTCTCATTCCAAAACACTGTCAAATAGGTGGTAGGTATTCCTGAAATCTCACTCGGTGGAAAAATACATCAATTTTTTTGGACAAAAATACCCTTATCCCTTTGCTGAGTTTGAAGCTTGCTGATTCAACTCCTGATCACAAAAAACAATAATCAAACAATCAAAACTTTCGTCGAATTCACTCGTCATCGATTCGAAAATATTGAATGTTACTTGACCTTGAATAGTAGGGGTGTTCGCGGTCTGGATTAGATCGGTTTTGAAAGCAAAAATCATCCGATCCAATCCCTTCGGTTTGATCATGTAATCATCCATTCGGTTTGGATTTTTTTTCAAATCCGATTCAATCTAATCCAATTTTTTTTGGTTTGGATTGGATCGGTTTTCGGTTTTTTTAAAATCCTAAAATTTGTTTCATGATTATTGTGCAAATAACATCTTTTGTATATATTGACTTTGTAATTTTTTTTTTTAAAATACAAAAGCATCATTAAACGATAATATAGTTTTTTCTTTTTTGGGCAATGAGATATGAAGCTCTACACAAATTAAAATTTGTTAATGAGATGTGACTAGGCTTTTTCTTGGGTTTAGTTGATGGTTAATGGATCTTTGGTTTAGAAATCTTTGGGCTATGATTGAAAAAAAAACCCAAATAGGTAGAGAGAAATTAATATATTGGATCGGTTTGGATTGGATCGGTTTTTATTAACCCATCCGAAAACCGATCCAATCCAATTAAAATTTGCGGTTTTTTTTCGATTTTTGATTTTTCGGTTTTCGGTTTATTCGGTTATCGGTTTTTCGGTTCGGTTATTGCGGTTTGAATCGGTTTGGATCGGTTGATGAACACCCCTATTGAATAACGTTCTCTGATTACCGAGACATTGCTATACAGTATACAATACGCGCAAGACAAAGAGAGAGAAATAGGGCAAAAAAAGAGAGAGAGAATCAAATATCAACGGCCGAAATCAAACCCACCTCATAATGAGTTTCATTATTGGGGATGGTGAGTTCGACGTCTCGACGACTAGGAAGGTTAATTTTGTAAAATCATCACATATTCCAACAATATTTTACAATCAACCAAATATAGTATAAGGGAAATTAATCTAACATTCCTGAAAATAGTTTGGCATACTAAACAACTTTTTGATAAAAAAATAAAAAATTTCCTCTACTAACTACCCTAAGGGTGTATTTGGTAGGAGTTTAATTTTAAGATAGATAGGCAAATAGATGTGATATTTTAATTTGTCTATGTTTGGTTGTGAGTTTTAAAAAATTTAACTAGGGAAATTACTTACCCAGTATTTGACATTTGTGTGTAAAAAACAGTATTCAATTATACCACCTAGCATGTGGTATTTGCGTTTGCTGGGCAAATCTAAAAAGGAACGCTAATATTGATTCAGAGTGGCTGATCAAAATGACCCTTAACATCAGAGCTAACATATTTCTTCTTTCTTCAATCAGACCAAAAGGACCCTTATTTACTCAAGGTTGTTGTTGTAATTTAACCTTATTTTTTTATTAATATTTTACTTTCAACCAAACGTAGATTTAGAAAACTTAAACCAATTTTTCCGATAATTTTTCAGCCTACCAAATAATTTTTTTTTTTACTTTCCTACCAAATTTATTTTTTCATCATTTTCCCATTAATCATATTTACTTAGTAAAATTTTTTTTCCCTCAAACAAACGTCCCGTAAAGGATTATCATGAAGCATGTTATTTAATATAAAATAATGATTTATCGGTTGATTATGGACGAGTTGTGTTTGTTGGCGCCTTCATTTTTAATTAATTTTGATAAGTATCATCTATGTTTTTAAAAATATAATACAAGTTACATATATTCTTAACATTATCACCATAATTATTGGATGCTGACTCATTTTGTTTTCTCCCTGTTACCTCTATCTAAATACTAATTTATCATTAAAGGTTTGACCACCCAGACAGACAGCACATTCACTTCAAAAGTTTGTGAAACATTTGGTACATATGTTTATGGGTTTATTGTTTCTCCTTCAAAAAGGATGGTCCTTTTAGATAAAAAGAGTGTGTTTTTTCAAATTTCAAATTATATATTTTTTCCTCCAATTTCTCTTCTCCAAATTTATTTTTTTATCTCTCTTAAAAGAATATAAGTGTGTATCATTTAAAAGGATACACACTTTTCCCTATGTTTATCATTAAATACAAAGTTTAGTGTATGCAATGTTAACATTTTTTAGTTCAATTAATATTAATTCTTTTTCACAATATCAAACAAAATATATATCGCGCGATAAGAATAAATTAATTGCGATGAAACTTTCCCTTGTTGTAATGTCATTGTGCCACGCTGATGCCGCCACTTTTTTTAATCTCGAACTAGTATATTCCACAATGTCAATGACAATTGAAACCTTATTATAATTCCAATTAAACCTAATTAATTGTTTATTAGCAGACAGCGATTCTCTCTCTTCTTTGTTCTGTTCTCTTTTGCTTCCATTTTCCCTCTGAATTCAATTCAAGTTAGTTGAATCCAAAATCTGCCACATTCTCTTCTGCGTCTCGATTCCTTCACTTTCTATCTTTCATTTTCCCCGGGAAAATCAATGGCTATGCATCCTGCGGAGAGCTTCGCCGAATCCACGAGCTAGGGTTTCTGCCGGAAGATCAATTCTCGCCGGGGTTTTGTAGGGGGAGACATAATCGCCGGCAACCATGGCCACCAACTTGCAGATGAGTCCTCAGGTGGAGCAGATCCACGGTGAAATCCGCGACAACTTTCGAGCACTTGCGTATGTGTGTCTGTCTTAACCATAACCCCTTCTTTATCAGATTCGATATTTTGATTCGAGATTTTGTTACCTGTCTTCGCATCTAATCTTAGATGATATGAATTTCACTTAGAAAGTAAAAACTTGTGTGGCTATGTTAATTATATTCATTTTATTGATCTTCTTAGTACCATGATTTTTTTATCCTTGAAATTTTGGTGGTTAATGTTGAAATATAATTCTGGCTAATATGAGTGGGTAATGGGTGTAGCATACTGATGTTTAGAATATTTCTGACTCGGTGTTCATATGGACTTCAGGCTTATTGATATTTGAGAATCTAGTTGTTTTATGGTTTATAAAGCTACACAGCTAGCTAGTGATCTGTTTAGAGTGTAAACGGAGGTAGCTCGTTGTGCTTTAGGGGAAACTATGTTGATACTTGGTGAAATGTGCATGAAAGGATATTAGTTGTACTTGAAGAAGCTCTGTCTTCAGTGCCACTTGATATACTTGGTCATGGTGATAAATGATAATAGTAGTGAACATCCTCTGTAGAAATGAGTACATTGTAAATGGACATAAGCTCAGACCAACAGGTGGTTGCTAGTATGTTGTGCTTGAAAGGTCAACCTTAGTGACTTATTGTCAATGGATAGTCAGATGACTCAGATTCAGTTGTTAGCATGAATATGCTCCCTTTTTCTCAACCAATGTGCATTATTTTGAGTCAGAATGAATATTTAGTGAACCCTTTATTTAAAATTCAAATCTTATGCTCCTACACTTAAATGTCACACTCGGTTTATTTATTATTTTTTTCACTTTCAATAGATACGTACAAATGTTCTCCCTCTGTCAACTTTATTTGTCTTTTGAGGTTGTTGCACAAGAACTAAGAGTTATTAAATATCTTCGATTATAAGCAAAAATAATTACATTTGGTGTTGTTGCCATATGACCTGGAGGTCACAGGTTTGATTCATGTAATCAGTCTCTTACAGTGCAAGGTAAAGCCGTCTACTATAGATAGACCCACACAATGGTCTTACCCTTTCATGGACCCTGTGCATAGTGGGAGCTTTATAGCACCAGGTTTTTACTACATATGTATATTTATCGGATAATATTTTTGATAGTTAAAATTAAAGATTAAGTGATATTATAAAATGTGAGAGCTCATGAAGAAAAGTAATTTATTGTGTTTACATTTCAACTAAATAAAACACATGGTGAAATATTGGTCACTACTTAGAGTTAGAGTACGAGTACCGTCATCATGAGAGAAACCTCATTATCTATTTGTCGGGACATTGTCTCATACTTAAGGTCATAAAATTTTACATAACTTATTCAGTTCACACAAGTAGTATACTGAAATTAATAGTTTTTAGGCCGATCTCTTCTCGTAGGAGCTGTGATATTACCTTAACATATATTTTCTGGTTATGACAAATGACAATGATTTATTTCCCATCTCTTGAAACGGAGTATAATTGTCTGGATTGCCTCTTTCACAGTGATGGGTTGATGGCTATTATTTAATCCTTCCTTTATTTATCTATATACAAGTGATGTATGGTTACTCGTACTTTTCTTGTACTTCAGTTCAGTCATGTATCCTTAGCTGGTGCCACATTGATGGTTATTAATTCCTGGAAAAGGAAAAGAAAGAAAGAATACTTAATTACTTTTTCTAAATAAATCTCATCTTTTAAGCATTTGTAGATATTTTTAACATATTCTCGTTTTGCAACCAGAAATGGCTTCCAGAGGCTGGATAAGATTAAAGATTCCAATAGACAAAGTAATCAGCTGGAAGAACTCACGGGGAAGATGAGGGAGTGCAAAAGGTAAGTCATGCATTTATGTAGTTGTAATCTGGGTATCTGTTGGTAGAACTGTAACTCTGAGTAAGATGGAAAATGCAGATTCCATTCAAAAAATCAACTTTGTACGTTTTTCTTTTCCTCATTGGTTGGCATGGTGGAGTTTGTTTTTTTAAACTAATTATCATAACTAAGAGGTCTATAATAGAACTTTACAATAAATCCCATGCCAACATCCCAGCTTTTGAATGATGATGATATGGGCAGCATATGACCTCATCAAAATTTGATATTTATTTTCTTGTTTATCATAGTAGCTATGTGCTTTCCAAACTTTTTCGTTGACAACTCACTTGCCTTTTGCCATGTGCCAGTCGTGAAGAAAGTAAATTTTCCTTTGATTTTGAAATATTTTACAATTTTCTTTTCAGTGCATTCCCTGCATTCATAAAATATGAGGCATCATGTTGATATCAATTGTTTCAGGTTGATAAAAGAGTTTGATCGTGAAATCAAAGATGAAGAGAGCAGAAATCCCCCAGAAGTGAACAAGCAACTCAATGATGAAAAACAATCAATGGTCAGTATCCGAAATGTGTATTTTTTTTATATGCTTATGTTGGGATTCTAGCTCTGCTTTGGAAGGGATGCAATATCTTCCATGTATTGTGAATTAAACATTCAAGCTTATCATGTTTTAACAACTTCATAAATAATTTGCATGGCTGAACGTGTCTCAAAGGCATTTTATTATCACTGTCAATGGGGCTTAAAAATTTCTTTTTCTTTTTTCAGAATATAGAGGTTGATAATTTTATAATAAAGATAAAAGCATTATAATACCAGTTGGCTTGGATTTTTTCTGAGTTATTTCCCACTTGAACGTTTTCTAAATATGTGGTGTTATAGAAATTTTGTGTGCCTCCTATTGAGAGGCAAGAGGGAGGGAGAAAGACTTTATATAAAGCATTCATTTGCAACTGAATTACAGAATATTTTCTGATGCAGAAGTACCCGTTAATGAGATCACTTTTTTAGGACAAACTTTGTAGTCTATGTATATCAGTTGCTTTAATTTTGTAGCATTCCTTTTATGTGACCAGACGTAGAATTTGTATATTGGTCATTTATCAGATTTAGAAGCTTACATCCCTTGTTTTGCATTACTTCCCAACGATGATGGTTTAAGCACTTTAGCGGTGGCTGAGACTATATTCATGGTCAATTTGTTTAAGTAATCAGTATTATATACTATGTTCCTTTTGGTCCTGCTTATCGATTGTTTGTTTCTCACATTGGTGTGCTAGTCAAGATCTTAAACATGTAAAAAGGCATGACAATTGACAATTAATATCTTGTTATAAACTAGAAATCCAATAATGTGATCTCCAGATGGTCGGCAAAAAGTCTGTCACTCTGTACATCGGAGGATTGTCCATATGCTTATACATAGTCGTACATTGCATATTTGCATCGCCTTGCACACAAACAGCTAATTCTTTATGTTTGCTCACATGCATTTTTCTTGCAGATCAAGGAACTAAACTCATATGTGGCATTGAGAAAAACGTAAGTTCATCCATATAACGTGTGTCTGCAGACTAAATAAAATTGTTTCTTTGACATACGGTTGGTACTTGGTCCTTGTGAAGGTTTTAGAACAAATTATATGATTAATACCAATTTTCCCTGTGAGCACAACTTCCAAAATCTTGATGAATGTTGACTATTGGCATTAGCATAACCAATAATTCAAACTTTAATTTCCCTCCATTTTTCATTTTTTACACCTAAATAAAATTATAATCTTTTTGGCTATTTGAAAGAAGAATTTATATTTTATTTCTTTGATGATTGGTAGGTATATGAATACCCTTGGTAATAAGAAAGTTGAACTCTTTGACATGGGAGCTGGAACAAGTGAATCTATAGCTGAAGAAAATGTTCAGTTGGCATCAGGTGAGCTACTTCTCCCTTGTTGAAAATTGAAATTATAGGGTTTTAGGTATAGTGGGAGAAAAAGGAGAGAATGGAGAGTTAATACTCTGAAATGGATATTGATCGGATGTGATATAAGCTATAAAGTACTAAATTACTAATCCCTATTTATTCTAATTAAAGACTCCCAATCCTAATTAAATAAGGAAACAAATCACCCTCAAGTTAAAGCTTACTAAGCTTTAAGCTTGTTAACAATGAACCCTTTAAAAAGGAAAAATAACCAAATAATATAATTTGGGCTCCACAAAATATGGCTAGAAAGACAATTTAGGGATGCTGGAGATGTTAGCGAGATGAGCATTATTGGAAAGATAACTTAGCAATATTGTTCAAATGATCGTAAGTCTAAAAAGCTAGCTAGAATGTTGCATGACCAAGAAAGAAAAACTTCTTTGGAATGATCATTAGCGAAAATTTTCTGGCAATTAATTATACTCAACAAGATATTAAGCTTCTCTAAATTCATTAAGAATAGTATTTGGAAGCTTCAAACCACTAGAGGACATAAGTGACCTAAAAAAATTGAAATTGAAAATTGATGCTAGTGTGCATCGCTGCCATGGAGAAGTCATTGCCAGCATGACTCGTAAGTGAGATAAGAGAAATCACCATCGATATGATTTACCACAGGAGGGTGGTATGAATCATAGCTAATTCATCACTCTATGACTCATTGGGAAGCTATGATGCACTGACACTTTAAAAAACCTGACGTGTTGTGTCCGACACTCCAACATGCGTTGTAGAGACTAATAAATAGGATTCAAAGGTTGCGTTGCGTTTTTAGTTTCAACTATTAGATTCGTTGGATTACGATTACCATTTTATTGAGTTTAATATAAATATTTGTGATATCTTATATTTCTTTGCAAAATTGATGGGTATTATAAGTCTAGCTTCATTTTTTATTAAATTATTGAATATTAAATATAATATACACTACAAAATTAAAAATGTTATTTAATATCAAAATGTGTCCTAACGTATCGAAATCAAACATTTTTTAAAATTAATAGTCGGAATGTCGTGTCGTGTCCCGTGTTTCATATCGGTGTCGATGCAACATAGTTGGGAAGTAAGAAGTCACCTGAATGATCATCAATGGGAAGAGAAAAGCATGACAAACATTGAATTGTTTGGGTCACCAAACAAATATATGTACAACAAGTAGAAGTAGGCTCTAGAATAGGGGTAAGTTGACATGGCTAGAGCATATGGGACAAAGATAGGGGTCTAGTTTGCATATAGGACAAAAGCTGGGGGTAGAGCGCATATGAGATAAAGACGACAAGGCAAACTGCATTTAGGACAGACCGGGGTCAAACACCTTCCAACTTTCTCCCTGTCAATGCTATCCTAGATAACACTTCCAAATGAATTTTGTGCACCAAATGTAGAGCGTTGATTCAGAGGGATTAGTTGTGATTGAAGCATAGTAGTCAATAGCGGCGCTATTGCGCTGCGAGCCACGCCAGATGCGCGTTGCGCAGCCCCACTGCAAGAAACTGCTCTGCTCTGCTCCGGAACGCCCAAAAAGCGGCCATTTGCAGACCATTCCTTCACTCCCTCTTCCTGTCGCACGACGCTGCCCCTTTCCTCTCTATTATCAATATGTGAGAAACATGTGTGGGTGAGAAAGAGTAAGAAGAGAAGATGCAGAATGTATGTATCCATTTTGGAGAAAGAGAGGAATGTCGTCGAGTCCTCTGCAAGCGAACCTGGTTATTGGAGAGAAAAGAGGAAGAGAGAAACGTCTTTTCCACTTTCCCACTTTCAAATAAATGTATCCACATGTTTCATATTTTTACTTTATGCTTTTTTTCTATTGTTTTAAATTTGCAGTTTAAAACTTTTTTCTATTATTTAAATTTAGAGTTTAAACTTTTAATATAATTAATAAGACCTGACAGTTAAATTTCTTTTTATAATTTAAAAAGTTATTATTATTTTAATAGTTAATTAAATTGTTAAATATTATTTAAATTGTTACTTAAATTATTTAATTTTTCTTAAATAAAAAGCTATTATGTTAAAAATTTTAAATTGTTAAATTGCTATTATGTTAAATTGTTACGTAAATTTTATTTAAATTGTTTTTAAAATTTTAAATTGGTAATAATTAATTCAATGATAGTTTTGATGGGAAGACTTGAAATTAATCATAGTTGAAATTGAAAAAGACCTGTAAATTATTTGAAACAATAAAATATTATTTCATTTTCGAAAAATAATGACTACATATGCATGCACATATTGGTAAATGGAAAATATTTTAGTTAAACCATATAATCAAAGGGATACACATTTAATAACATATAATTGTTACAAAAAAAAAAACATAATTAGAGCATTTCTTTATTATTAATGATTGTTTTTATTTTTTAGCATATATATGTGTGGTATATCTAGGTACTATTAATCTATTCTGCTATTTCCGCAATCGCAACCCGTTATAGCGCTATAGCATTTTTCAGGGTTAGCCGCAACAGGCCGCAATCCACTTTTAACTACTATGGATTGAAGCCATTTTTTGGCTAAAATAAAGGCTAGGTAAATTGGAAGGCCAAAAAACTCAATAGGGTTGTGACTTCAACAAACAAAATGACAACTACCCATGATGAGAATGAGATTACATCATCAACATCAACATCAACAACACCTTTATCCCAAATTAATTGGGGTCGGTGGTAGATGAACCCACATGAAAGATACAAAACGGTTGAAAAAAAGTAAAAAAAATAAAAAATAATAAATAAATAAATAAATAAATAAATAAAAATACACAAATAAAATAATAAAATAAAATAAATAAATAAATAAATAAATAAAAATACACAAATAAAATAATAAAATAAAATAAAATGAAATAAAAATATATGTATATATAAATAAATAAAAGTAAAAAAGAAAGGGACAAGAAGAAGTGGGGGAAATGAAGGGGAAAAGGACTAAAAAAGGACCATCTGGAACATAGGAATAACAGCGAGTTTAACCCTCCACCATACTTATAGCTTTTCTCCATTCCTTTCTAAGACATACTGTCCGCCAATCTATATCCCACTCCATTAAATCTTGTTTTACTACTTTCCCCCAAGTAAGCTTCGGCCTACCTCTGCCTCTTTTTGTGTTTAGCTCTTGGTAACAAACTTCTATTCTTACAGGAGCATCCATAGGTCTTCTCATCACGTGCCCAAACCACCTCAATCTATGTTCTCTCATCTTCTCGGCTACCGGTACTACTCCGACCTTTCGTCGAATATCTTCATTTCTTATCTTATCCATCCTTGTGTACCCACACATCCACCTTAACATCCTCATCTCTGCTACTCCCATCTTATGCTCATGTTGCCTATGTGCTGGCCAGCATTCCGCTCCATGATGAGAATGAGATTACAAACCACCAAAATGGAGTTAGGATGTGTTGACAAAGAGACTGATACTGGAGGCAAGACTAATGGTGGCAAAGGTGACGTGTATAGTTCCGACTAAAAGGTCGATATCAACAGCCCACTACCTAAACACTATCAATTGGAGGAGAGGAGGGAAGATCTTGAATGAGGACAATGAGGTGAGTCAAACAACGCTAGCAGCTACCAAAACGGTGGTCGAATGTGCACTCACTTTTAAAAAATGGAACAACAACTTGACAGGTGTGGTGGCCCATGTTGGCATAAGGAAGCTCCGATGGAGGAATGGCTTGGTGGGTTGGATGATCAAAGGCCGTTGAACATGGTGTGATTGGGGGGTGGAGTTGCCGCGCACACAATGGCTGAATTACATCAGCAGTAATGCGAAGGAGAAAGAAATGGGAATATGTCTATGTGAGAGATGGCTTTGACAACTATATCTGGTCTTTGATTTTAATTTGAAATCGTGTTTCAGTAAAGTGTTGCCTTGTAATTCTTGGTAGACGGCGCTATGGAGCTTGCTTATACTATTGAGAGAGAGAAAATACACTGAAATTTGTGCATCCCAACTATGCCAAGAGACTCAATATTTCTGTAACGAATATAATAAATACCGAGAAACAATTTTTCTAATTGTATATTTACAGGGATTAGTGTTTTTTATGTTGTAGGAGATAATTTTATCTCCTACTCCTACACATGCAGAAAAGTGTGTGGGGCTCATATTTTTTTTTTTCTCTTTTCTCTTCACATGGCACTTTTATGTGTGTGTAGAAGATAATTTTATTTCCTACGACATGAGAAACATTAATCTCATATTTACATGATACATTGAATCTAAACATAATAGTACCCATTTCTAATACCCCCCCCCCCCAAAGTTGTGCCATATAGTTTATATGCATTGAGCTTGTTGCAAAGATAACTTATACGAGGACCTCTTAAAGATTTGGTGAAAACAATCTCCCGAAACTGAAGCTCCTTAAGTTGTTGCTTTAGTCGAACGAGTTCGCAAGTGGTGGATGTTGTGACTTGGTATTTTGCTTCAGCACTTGATCTTGTCATTATGTTTTGTTTATTACTTTTTGAGGATATTAAGTTGCCTCCAATGAGAGCACATAATACCTACATGTCGGAGAACCGGTCTAATCGGCGTATGAACATGTGACAATCTCATTATGTCCTTTATCTTGATAAGTGAGACCTTTTGTTAGAGCTCCATTAATGTATTAAAAGATACAGATCACAGCATCTCAATGGCTTACACACAAGGAATTTAAAAACGGACTAACTGCACTCATTACAAAGAGATGTCTAGGTGAGGGATTATGAGGTAGTTTAGTTTTTGGCCCAGTTTTTTTTCTATATCTTCCTAGGTCTAATAGCAGCTTTTCTTATTGACATTATGAGTATTAATAGGCTTTTCACTCAACAAACATGTTTTCTCAAGGATGTTCATAGCATACTTCATGTATGAGATTATCATCCCCTACTTGGATTGTGCCAAAAAAACAAAACTTCCAAGGTAATAATGGTACAACTTTGCATAAGTGTCTTGGTCAACTCAGGGCACAAAGAGATGATGTCAAAGCAAGCGGAATGAAGCAGGCTGTGACTTGACCAATGGTTGGATGCGCGCTCGTGTGCCAAAAAAGGGAATGGTGGCCTGACAGGCTGGGGCAGTATGTGGCAGCTTTGTAGGCAGTGCTTCTTGGTTTGCTGGGTGAGCTGAAGCTGCCAGGACGATAATGGGGTCAACTAGTGGAGTTGACACAAACAATGGCAGACTTACACCAATAGTGGTGCAGAGAAGAGAGTAAAGACTGCCAAAAATGTGAACACGGCAAGTTGGTGGCGAGGTGGGGTCCAAAGCACGAATGGCAGCGTAAAGGGTCCACTAGGTATGCATGGTTTTAGAGTTGCCTCTCTTTTAGGCTTTAGATACCATGTTGAGATAGGGAAAAGAGAAGCTTGTGCTAAAAACCGTATGTCTCGATTACAACATGGACTCTATTTATAACGAATATTATAAATACAAAGATACAATTTTCCTAATTACTATTTACATGATACACAGAACCTAGACTCTTACACTAAAACTAGACATAATAAAAGATGTTTCTAACAAATACAATTATCCTTCTGTTTTAAAATTAATTTGTTTGTTATTTATACTTGACAATTATAATAGTCTCACACTGGCCTCAAATTTTATACTGGTCAGCTTAACATGATATGTTACGAAAGCTTGATTATAAGAAAATAGGTATAAAGGTTATATACCTGATTCATCAGAAGTTCAACATCGCATGATATGTCATGAACTCTTGTTTATAGGCAAATAGATACATATACTGATTCAATGGAAGTTGTATCAATATCAATGAGACGATGGAACACTTCTCCATATGAGTTGGAATTTTTTTTTCTTTTTTTTTGTGTTGTGTGTTTTCTGTTACAACCAGTCTTCACCGACTCATCCAGCATCTATTTTGCATGCTAATTTTTTGAGTGTCTTACATCAGGCGTCATCTTTGTTGGTGCATGATAGTTGATAGTTGGGGTTGGGACTTCCTCGGGAGGTTTTATGCTTTTGTGTAGTTAATGACAGATTTATCTCACCAAAATGCTCATTCGGAATGTCCTATAGAAATGTCAAATCAAGAACTTATCAATGCTGGGACCAAGACAATGGATGAAACTGATCAGGCTATTGAAAGATCTAAGCAGGTGACTCACTTCTGAATTGAAATGGGTTGTACATCAATGTCCCTGTACCTTTGATCTTAACTTTTGATTGATACGTAGGTTGTACATCAAACAGTTGAAGTAGGCACCCAAACTGCTGCCACCTTGAAGGGCCAAGTAAGTTTATTTGCACCAAGTATACTTTAAAAAAGGAAGAGTCTATCTGTTCACACACTTGACATTTGTCTATTATCAAATGGTGCAGACTGAACAGATGGGCCGTATTGTTAATGAGCTTGATTCAATTCAGTTTTCAATTAAGAAAGCCTCCCAGCTTGTGAAGGAGATTGGTAGACAGGTTTCTTCATTTTTCATTGTGTCTACGCACTTTTTACTTTCCTTCAAGCCTCTGTCGTGAAACTGAAGTGTCTTTACCCCGTTATCAGGTAGCTACTGATAAGTGCATCATGCTTCTTCTGTTGCTTATCGTCTGCGGTGTAATTGCCATTATTGTCGTGAAGGTATTATCTTCATTCCATCATTTAATCCGATGAACTTATGGTGGATATCTTTCCCTCTCAAGTAGTAATCTAACATTTCTGCTCCAAAGAACAATTTTTACATGAAACATTTTGAGTAGTTTATCTTTATTTTTGTATTACTTTCTATAACACCGAAGAAAATGGTGGGGGAGGTGCATAATGATCTGTACAAGTAAATTGCCTATTGAAATGCTCATATTTAATTACTTTGCCAACTGATTATGTAGTGCACAATGCTGACGCTATGAGCCTGTTTTAACTGGAACTGATATTTTGCAGATTGTGAATCCCAACAACAAAAATATTAGGGATATTCCAGGATTGGCGCCTCCAGCTCCAACCAGGAGGCTTCTGTATTTAAGGAGTGGAGAACATTTTGATTAATTCTAGAAGAATTTTTCCCGTCCAAATCTTACCAACCTGATTCTTGGTTTTCTTGTATGATGGGAAAGTCAGAGGAATGCTATGTGGGGGCATCTTTTGGATCTCTTCAATTAATTTTAATTAAAAATTTTCTTGCCTGAGCTGTGCATATTCTGTTTGTCGTTCCATGTATATCACACGAGCGCCTTTTACTTTGTTTTGAGTGTCATATTTCTTTATGTAACATTTCAAAAATGTTGTAGGGCTAGAAAGAAAATAATACTATACTGTGAGATCTTTGGTGTACATGTCCCATTATAAGGAGATTTATGTTGTTTTTAATTTTTCTCTTTTTTATTTGTAATCTATGCATATAATTCAATCTGTGTCTGATGGATTGGTTTTGTAAATTATATTTATTCTAAATTGCACTTGCAGCTGCTCATATTATTGTCTATTTTTCTGCACCATGAAGCCCTAGATAGGGATGATTGTCTACTTGTTGATACTTCAGGCTTTTTTCCTCTCTTTTTTCCCCTTTACATCTTTGTTTTTTTATTTTATTTTATTAAAATCAGTAATATCACGGAGTATTTATACATCTTTAACGAGTGGGATTATATCGGAAGCTTGCGGTAGTCATAAAAGATGTTAGCTTCATCACTTTCTCTCTTTCTCTCTCTTAACCAACAACGGCAATGAAAATGAAAATGGGTCAATTTGACCACTATAGGTAGTTTAAATGAAAACTGCCTAATTAATGCTTTTTGTAAAAGTAATAATTGAATGCGATCAAAGTGGCACTTTGAATATGCGAGATAAGTCTCGCACTTCATTTATACAAAACCATATATGTCTAACGCGACAGTCTAACATTGCAATCATACGGGATCCATAACACTCGCATTATCATAATACTAGACTTGTTTTGTTTTATGGTGATGCGGGACTAGTAGGGTCCCATATAATTACCATGCGGGACTAGCGGACTGCCACTAGACAAGGGGTCGTGTATTAACGAGGTATGAGACTTGTCTTGTAGGCGGAGCCACGAAAAAAAAAATCAGATAGTGCCAAAAACAAAAAACTCAAGGCGTGAGAGCTGGCCACGGAGCCAGATAGCTAAGGTGATTTGGCAATAAATCTGGATGAAACAATTTATAGCTAATGCTATTTCAAACATTTATCACCAGACACTTTCACATTAAAAGATGCTGATAAGTGATAGCTTTTCCAGCAGCTCAACTCAAGATTATGGTTATTATTTGTTAGTTTATTATGCATATTAATGTCATACACACACATGGTTTGCAAGTACATATTGTTCCTTCAAATTTAAAGAACCAAAATTTAATATGAAAATGTAAAAAGAAGAATACTCTTTGTGTTAATATACCACAATTACCAAAGCTGAGATGTTATTGATTTAAGAGCTAATGGGCTGCAATTCTATTTTTCAAGCCCATCTATTAACATTTTCCAAAGCAAAGAGGGAAGAAATAAAGGAATAGAAAAATAAGAGGAAAAGAAGTGGGCTGAACTTTGGCAATGCAAGTCAGAAGCCCAGTTGAAGGAACAAAAAGAAAAGAAAAAGAAAGAAGTAAGAAAGAAAGCTAAGACAGCGTTGCACATTTTGGAAAACCAACTTCCAAGTAGTCGAACCCTAGCTCCTCACCATTCGAACCTCCCAATCAGTCCACCAAACCCACAAATCAAACCAGCCACACATAAAGAAGAATCTCTTTTTATTTTGCGAATCTGAGGCAGTTACGGGTTGATGGTGCGAAGCGAGTGTGGAGTGGAAAGGTGCACATGCTTTGATTGATCTCATCGTGTGAGAGGAGCCACGTGGAAGATGATCCAAGGGTTTTCAGAGCTATTGCATGCAGAGGAGATGATATAAAAGGAGTAAGGGACCTTCTGCTGTAAGGGGTCTTCTTCTTCTTCTCCATTTTTCTTTTTTTTTATTTTTTTATTTTCTGGTACTGTAAATAGATGCTACTTTGTTTTGATTAGAGCTTGTCAGCACAGTACCGAGGCTATTCTGGTGAATAGGACTCGGGCTGTGTTTTACGTTTTCTGCACTTTAGTTCGTCAGTAATTTTTCATTTTCATTTTGCTGTTTTTGTAGCTCAACCCTTATGGGTATGAGCTAAACTTTTTAAGGTTGGGTCTAGGTTACCCGAACCTCAATAATGGATGTTTGTTAATTACTTTTGTTAAACTTTGATTCTCAGTTGTTTAATGTCATGCCTAGTATTTAAATATTCTGTCTTTGAGGCCTGATGGTAGATGTTGTGTTAGGAAGTAGTCATCGAGAGGTGACTAATTCTGGAAATGAATTAAGCACGTGGACTTGATTGTGAGAGCATTCAAGGGTTGTCACTTAGGGATAAGGGCAGCCACCATGTAACTTTGGACTTGTGATTCAAGAGTCCTCACTTCATTTAGCACAGGGATGTGTGAATGAAAGTTGTGGATAAAATGATTTTAAGGGATTAAAATCAACAAGAAGTGATCCGTTAATTGGGAATTAATTTTTAGTAATCTGTAATTAACATTCATTCCATTGCTGTTGGGAAAGGTAACCGAAGCTCAACCTGAATTTTCAACCTATTTTTCACCAACTCAGATTTCTTTTCATTTGATTTCTAATACTTCAATTATAGTACTGTTTACTAATTTTTTTATATAAAAATATTTTCATATCAGACACTCAAATTGCTTTCCTTCCATTTTCCACCCTTTAGTTCAAGAAATCAATTCTGAAAATACTAAAAAAACAGAGTCATTGGTCAGTAATATTTTAACTTAGTCTTGTGATTACTTCATTTTTATTTTTACTCTTTTTAGATTAGATTCAGTTTTAGCAATTGCAAATTTTAGTTAAGTTAAAAATGCCAAAGATCCTTGTGTGGGAACAATATCAGGGTCTCAAAAACGCCATATATTACTTGTTGTCACGTATACTTGCGCGCTCACTTACATAACTGTCAGCAAGGCAACAATACACACACATGGTTTGCAAGTACATGTTGTTCCTTGAAATTTAAAGAACCAGACCCTTAGCAGCTCACACACATGTTAATTAATCCCCTAACATGGATATATTAGTTCAACAGACAATACAATACTCACTATATGATTTTATTTTTCCAATCAACCAAATTGAGAAGCTATTAATCAAACATAACAATAAAAGTGAGCTAAAAAATGAAAATTACCTCCTCTGAAACACGGATACGCGATTCTTGGAGAAATTTGCGTATCGGACACCGACACGTTCGGACACGCAATCAACTTTTTGGGACACGTTGACTAATGGGACACACGAATTTGACCGAATCCGACACGCGGTCAACGATGTGGACACGTTTTGATATTTTTTTTTTGTAAAAAAGAAATAAAATTACAATTAAAAAAAATATTTAATAAAAATTAAAAACTACATAAGGACGAGTTCAAACGCTGGTTTATTGAAGCTGTTCTTCTCTTCGTCGTCGGCTGCTGGTCTTCCCTTCTTTTTATTATTAGCCTCGTCGTCGGACCTCAGTACTGGCTCCGGTGCCGGAGGATTCAAGAAAACGAAAAACGTCCTTGCTGTCACTACTGTTGCTTCGCGGGTTCATCTCTCGCCGGAATCTCAACTGCTTCGAGAATCCCGTGGAGTTGCTCTACTTACACCTCTCGTTATGGGAAGCCTCAACCAGCTCTACCACCTCCAACGTCGACGATGTTGTTTTTCCATCCTTTAATTCCGAGGGAAAACTATTTCGCTTCTCGACGAAGAGCTTTGATGCTCTCCGGCAAGTATACCGATCGCACAAGTAATATAGAAAGTAAGTAGAGTATCGTCTCCACAGGGATTGTAAACCAAGTACTACAATAACCAGTCCCCTTAAGTTGGAAAACTCGATTTGTTGTTTGGAAAAATTGCGAATTGATTTTGAGTAACAATAAGAAATAAAAGTAAAGACTTGTTTTTGAATTTTTATTTAATAGAAATAAAACAATAACAATGAGAATTGATTTTAAAAATATGAGGAAAGCATTGTAGCTAGAGCGCACTCACCTTATGATCCCCACTTCTTACTTTGGATTGATTCACAATACTTATTCATATAATTACTCGGATAAATTATTATCTAAGAATATTTATTAGTTAACCCTCAATTCCTTGCAAGGTTAACCCTTTAATCCCCAATTGGAACCTCAATTCCTTGCAATGTTCCTCATGGTATTAAGCAATGAACGCAATAATTTAAGCATACGCAATTAAATACACATGTATTCCTAGCATGCATACCAATTGTTATCCTACCCCCTTTCAAGATCAAAACCCCAATATTCCTATCTAGGATTCTAACCCTCAAACCATTCTCAACTATCAGATTGATCAGTTCTAATAAAGAAAATAGAATTACGCACAAGGTAGAGACAAAGATAATTATATAAATGAGTAAAACTAAATCAATCCATCGTAACAAGGGTTCACATAGGCTCGTGACCCTAACTACAATAAAAGATTACTAGCCAAGCATAATCATGGCTAAAAATAATCCAATATTCAAAAGCATAAAATTAAGGAGAAAGGAGAAGAAGAACTTGATCCCAAGAATCCCCTCAGAGCTCTGCCGTCGTCTCTCTTCAGAAGAATCAATCTGAATTTTAGGGTTCTGTCAAGAGAACATATTTATAAACCTCTTTTCCTTCTTCCAAAAATACCCCCACGAAAACACGGTATTATTTTCCCGCAACCCGGTGCCAGTTGGCGCCGGTTTGGCGCCACTTCGCGCTGCGCTTCTGTGCAAAATTGCAAAGTCGGAACCGAGTCTTCGTAACATGGCGCCAGTTGGCGCCATCCTTCACCTTTTGGGCGCCACTTGGCGCCAATTTTCCTTTGCTTTGGGCGCCTAGTGGCGCCATAATTTCCTCCACTTGGGCGCCTGTTAGCGCCATGATTTTGCTGATGAATGTAGCGCCAGTTGGCGCCACTTTGGTGCCACTGAGCGCCACTCAAAATTCTTCGTTGCAAAGTTCGCAATCCAACGCGGGTCTGCGCCATTCGGGCGCTAGTTAGCGCCAATTCTCTGGCATTTGTACTATGCAACATGATGCCATATGGAACTTTTCTCTGTGTGGAGTCGCGTCAACAGACTTTTTATCATTTGTAATTTTCTTGCCTTTTACCTGTAAAAACACAATTAATAGGTGGGAAATATTATTGAAAAGAAAGAATCAATATAATTAGCAAATATGTGTTTAAGTTGCTCTTTTATGACTCAATTCTTATCAATTTTAACACAGAAAATCTCACTTGCCAGAGGCACATCAAGCTTCTTCAGCGTCGGTGGAAGAGGTGAAACGGCGTCGCTATTATGA